TTATACCACCCTCTGGTGTTTACACCGCACCTTTTTCCCTCTCGCGTGTGGTGTGTTAGGATGCTTTGGTTAAATGCATTTGGATGGGCTCCGATGCTTATATCGCTCTTTACTTTGACTGCATGATAGTTGGATGTGTTTCAATTATTATTATGTGCTCTCTTTAATTTGGAACCTTAGGGTGTGTCCTTAGGTTCGCACCATTTCTTTCCTCGCGTATGCCACGCATTGGGATTTTGTTTGCCGCCTCGGGTGCGCCCGACAGTTGTTGTTTCTTTGAATTTTCTACGTGAGGCGCAGTTGAGATTGCATAATTTTGTTACATCCTTTCTGCATGGAATGTAGTTTGGTTTGCATTAACTTGCTTATGTACGAGTTTGCTGTAGCATTTCTTTGCATAACATTTGCATCTAGATGTTTCATTACAACCCACATTGAATGATCATAAGTTATGTTCGACAACGTGTATATCATTTGCATTTTGCACGAACGTACGGGCTTATCTATATTGTTATCTTGTTTATCTGTCTGAGTCTTCGGCCTTGTCAAAAATGGGTCGTCTCTGGGCTTCGACATTCACTTCCGTCATTTCATGACTTCTAAGTTCTGTCAAAGAGGGGCAACTATAAACACCCTATTTTTGACCGTCCTCAAGACTTGGATATTCTTACAGGTACATCCAGTGATGAGTCTAATTGCTTGTCGAGCACTCGAACTTCGTGGTGGAATGCTTCAGGTTTGATCTTTCCAAACCCTGCATCCATTCTTTCTCATTTTTGGACCATGTCTTGGTCCTTCTATCTTGTTGTTTGTGGTGCAATGCCAGCCATGATTGGGCTCTGCCGGCCATGCATCTTGGCTTTCCAGCCATTGATGAGGCCTACCGGCCATCAATGAGGCATTACCGGCCACCACTACTGGCCGGCCGGCCACCAATGCATCAGTAGATATTTTTCCAGATATTTTGACAGCTGTTTGCACAAATGAGCCCATATGCTTGCACATGGATGACTGGATCTCTTCAAGGGACTTTTGTATCTTCTATATATAGAGCTCATCTATATGCATGCAAAGGGTTATAAAGTTTGAGCTGAGCAAGAATTCTCTCTCTCTCTCTCTCTCTCTAGAATTATCTCTCTCTATATTTTGTGCTTGAAAGTGAGCTTTCTCTACATATTTGCACTAGCACCCTTAGCCAAACACCTTCACCTTAGAGTTGAGGTTCTTGGAGGCCTTGTTTGAGCTCTTTGGAGTGGTTTTGGCTCAGAAGTTTGGTTGTTTTCTTGTTATTTTAGTGTTGTGCTTCAAGGGAAAGATTTTCACTGTATTAAACTTTGTTTTAGTTCATTGCTTGGCCATCTTTGCATGCTACTTTGAAGCTGGTTTATCCTCAAAAAAGTTCTATTTTTAAGGTCTTAAAATGGTGGTTTAAGCCTTGTGTGGTTAGGGGGTGGTTCCCTCTCTTTGCTCTTTGGCTTGTAAAGCCTTTTGAGCCATCTTTCTAAGCTTTTGAAACACCCTTTGCTTGGCCTTTTAACCACTGAAAATCAAAGGAATTTCAGTGGTAGAAACTTGGTTTTGAGGTCCAAAATAGGAGGGGGTGGCCCTCCATGCTTGTATCTTGTTTGCTTGTGTAGATAGCCTAATAGTTGAGTATATTTTTCTACCATCTCATGGCTTGATTTCAGCATGTTTTTGTGACTTTTTTGACCTGCTTTAGCTTTGTTTTTGGCTGGTTGGGTCACTTGTTGCTTGCTTCTTACACTTGTAGTGCAATCATGCTTACTAGTCTAGTTTACTTGATGTTTTAGCCTATCATTCTAGCTTCAGCATGTTTTTGCCACTGATTTAGCATGCTTTAACTCTATTTTGAGTGGTCTTGGTCATATGAGACTTGTTATGCATGGTTGTAGTGCAAAGGCCCTTACTAGCTTTGAGTTTTAAGGCCTCTAACATGTTTTGCTTGAGTTGTTTGCATGTTTTGGCATCATTTAGCATGTTTCAGTGCTTATAACTTTGTCACACTCTCACATATTCCACTCTTTCATTACTTTTGAAAGTTGTGTTTGATGCCTTGTTTGTGTGCCAATATATGAACATGATTTTCTTGTTTTTCATGCTATCATCTATGCACATTTTAACCCTTGTTTTGGCATGTTTGAGGTCTGTCTAGGGCTGGTTTGGCCATTTTAGATTGATATTGCATGGTTCTAGTGTAAAGCTCTTCACTAGTTTTAATGCTTAAGTCCTCTAACATGTTGTACATGAGTTGTTTGCGTGTTAGAGTCTTGTGTTCCAAGCTATTTCAGCACTGAAATTCTACCACCTCCCACATTTCTTCATTTTTTATTTGTTTTGAGGGTTGGTTAACGTTGTGTTTAAGCTTGGGATTGAGACTTGTGCTTAAATGGCTTTAACCCTCTTTTGATGGTTCCTCCTAGTCAAATGGAAAGTCTCTCTCATGTCTTAAATCATCTTTTGATTGACCTCTCTCTCATTAGAGGACTTTCACATTGGACAAATCAATTAAAGAATGGTTTGGTAACTTAAAATGTGTAAGCAAGAATTGAATCAAGTAAAACATGCCAAGATAAGCATGTTGTATTTGCATTGCATTGTGTTCAATCAGATGTTATATTGAACACAAGGTGGATTGGTCCATTTCATACTCAAAGTGGTAAAAATGAGCCAATTCCCTTTATCTCCATTGCCTTTGATCATCCATGATAAGGTAATGGTCTAGAGTCTTGTATTTATGCATTTATTGAATGTGTACAAGTTGGATCTTTGGCCATCATGCGTTGTGAATGCTTGATTGTTGGTTTTGGATCCCATAGTGCCTCTCCCTTGATGTTTTGAGATGATAAGGAGGGGCACAGTACACACATACCCTTGGGAAACCCTCAATTTTCCTCTGGTTTGAGCTCTATTGCAGAATGGTGATGTAGCACACCAGTGGTCGGCAGTGCTTCATCAGTGGCCGGCACTGCTTTATCCTTAGCCGGCAGTGCACATCTTTGGCCGACAGGTGACCAGCAGCAAGCTCTCATGGCTAGCAGGCCACTGGTGCAGTCCTCAGCAGTGAATTGGTAAGGTGGAGCAGAAAGTTCCTGAAGTAACCCTGCAAACAGAGCCTCTCAAGAGCAAACCGGAAGGTGTTTCGAGGCAGCAACCGAGCGCATGCATCTTCTAATTCCCAAGGCAGAGCGGAGGCAACCTAATTTAAATATCATGCATGTTTAGTTGGTTTTGTAATTTGATTAATTAGTTTGCTAATTGATTAAGTGTTGTAATAATTAAGTAGCTTAGTTTAGCTATTTCTTTATTGTTTTGTAATAATTAGTAATTAGTTTAATAGTTATTCGATTGGTTGTGTAATAATTAGTCTAATTAGTTTAATTAGATTAGTTAGATTAGCTTAGCTTAGATTAGGTTAGCTTATTCATTCGGACCTTCCTTCAAGAGGGCACAATGTTGTAATAAGTGTGGGTGTGTGTATGCATGTCTTCCAACCCCACTTCTTTCTCCCTTTTACTTAATCGCTTTCGATGGTTAGTTTAGGGCACGTTTTGATTAGCATACCTTATGCTTTGCATGTTTGCATTCATCCATTTGTATTGCATGTACCGGGCTCGGCGCATCATTCAAACTACATCGTATTTCAATACATATTTGAATACGTGTATCAATTGTTTTATCGTATGCCATCTTAGATAGCCGAGCCTATTTAATTGCATATTGCATGTGTTGCATTAGGCATCTTAACATAGTTAAGAATCATGCATATTTCTAACTAGTTTTTGTTTTGGCTCGGAGTACACTGTAAGTGTTACGCTTTAGCATACTTGCATGAGTGTGAGTGTTGCCATGATAGCATGCTTGCCATGAGGCTTCTTGCTTAAGTGATAAATTGTATGAATACCTGTGGGTGAAGGCTTGATTGCCTGAATTGGAACAATTCGATAAATATAAGTTTTAAGCCCACTTTGCGAAGTGGCAAATCATGTTTTAAAGCCCACTTGAGGGTCACAAAATCTGCACTTTTGCCCGCTTGCGAGTGGCACTTTCAAACCATTTTCGAAAACAAACATGAGTTGATTTGTTCTAAGTCTTGCAACTTAGTCTATACTTGTATGTGTGCGCCACATAGTAAAGTTAGCTAATAACCGGATAAAAACACATGAGATTTATAAAAACAATATATCATGTTAGTAGAGGCCGATCTTTGATCGAGCGAGCGGGGGTGCTCATTTCAGGACCTTCCCCTCTCGTACCCAAGTTCCCGACCCAAGGCAACTTTGGTGATGACGGACACGTGGCCTTTAGCACGAGTCAGGGTTTCCTAAATTTTCCAAAAATAAAATATTTAGGTGGCGACTCTGTAATCTGGCAAAGCAGTCCAGTTTTGGCATTATTTGATTCCAAATCGATTTTCCAAAATGATTTGCCGGATTGGACTCTTTGGTGTTTATCATAGGGCTTCCAGATGGCGTAGATATAGATAACAAATAATTTATAGGTTCTAGTGGTCTAGTCAATTTCCGAGAGAAAGCATATGATATGAAAGAATGCGTAGAACTAGAATCTATCAGTACACATGCATTTTGAGAACATATAGGGAGTATACCTGACACCACAGCTTCGGTGTTCTGCACGTCACCAGGCACTAAGGCAAACACTCGACCTTGTCTCAGAGGTTCTTTCCCAGTATTAGCTCTTGCATTTGTCTTAACTGTAGAAGTGAATCCAGCTGAACTCGCTATAGGACGGTTGGCATTATTAGACCCAAGCGGGCAATCTTTCACTACATGACCTGTCTTGCCACATCGGAAACAAGCACCCATTGCTCGGTAACACACGCCCCTATGCCTTCTACCACAATCAGGGAAAACTGGAATAGACCCACTGCTTTGACTTAAGTTACTTGTAGATTCCGTGTTCTTCTTTTTACTCACATAAGAACGCCTCTTTTTGAAACCGTACCCAAACCTTTTTCCTCTTCATTTTATTGCTATTGCTATTGGGGCCTTACTTTGCTTCATAGCAGCTAGGGTAGCTTCAGCCATTAAGGATCTGTCAAAGACTTCTACGTATGTTGGCAACTTCAATATGCCTACCCGGTCGAATATGTCTAAATCCAATCCTCCTTCAAATTTGCGGGCTTTCTTATAGTCCATATCCACCATGTGAAGGGCAAATCTGGCTAACTCAGTGAACTTAGCCTCATACTTAGCTATGGACATTCTGCCTCGCTTGAGTTCTTGAAATTTAGACACTTTTTGGTCTCGAAAACATTGAGGGAAGTACTTGTCATAAAAGATTTCATTAAATCGAGCCCATGTCATGTTTCCATTGGTGTTCCGAATCAGTAACCACCATCTCCAAGCTTCGTCTTTGAGAGTATAGGTAGCCAATAAAACCTTCTGAGTCTCGGTACAGGGAAAAACTTCAAACAACTTCTCTATTTCAAGCAACCATGTCTCCACTTTCAACGGTTCAATACCACCGAAGAAGGTTGGTGGTTTCATCTTCATGATTTTTTTAGTTAGGTTGATGATGTCATTATTATCGGATTCAACTTGTACCGGCAGAGGCGGAGGGGGCAAAGGTTGTTGCCTCTGCTATTGTGTCATTGCTTCGGTCAGTGCTACAAGCATTTGTTCCATTCGGCTCATGCAAGCCTTTGAGGATTCACTTGTTTCATTACTCCTTGCATTTTCCATGATGATATAGAGAGACAAGGTAATAATAAACATAGGAATAATCTCGTTTATTTTTTCAATTTTATTTATTCAGGTTCAAATTCAGTTTTCACATTATAAGGATTATCACACACTCAAACATGCAGATAAAATGTCCCTAACACTTTTCTAGGACATCCTATAGCTCATATGGACTCGTGTGTGCAGTATAACACTTGCTTTTATACCACTCTGTCACGACTTAAACCCGCCCCTATAGGTTTAGCGTCATAATCGGCCAGTAACCCTTGGATTATCAAAGGCCTCTTAACTAATTAACATATAATTTGGGGCTACGGAAGCAAATATATAAAATATACATCTTCCATTGTAGGAAATCTTGTCACTCCATGTACAGAAATTAAAAGATGCAATATTTACACGTCGATCCATGTACAAAAATCTTGTCCGAAAATCAAAGAAAACAAAGCTTAATATATTCACAAAATCAGCCACTAAACTTGACTTGATCTGGAACCTCCTCGGGAGGCACAAAGACTGGCTGACCAAAAAATGACACGCCAGGTCCTCAACTCTGAACCTGGTCACGTGCCTGATCACCTACATACATAATATAAATGGTGAATAAGAGCCCAGTGAATAACAACAAAGTAAAAGATTTAATGAATGAAGTCCATACCAGATTTAGAAATCAAATACATATTCATGTTCAGATCATATACAGAAATCGGAGTTCATGCTTAATCATACGTGGTACATCCATTAGCGCTAACATAATAGATACATAACATATGGTGGTTATGAGTAACCAATTCCATAGAGGAACCTTCGAATCCGAGTAACAGTTAACAGATATCACATGATGCTAAGGATGCCACGAATACATTGTAAAAAATCGGACAATCATTCATTGTACAGAATATAACATTTCAAAAAATAGATCTTATTTCATCATATAGAAAATAAATAAAGTGGAACATAGCTTTATTAAGTTATTACTCACAGATGGCTCCGGGTGCAGACAGACAGAGCAGACTAATCAAACGATTTACGACACGTGACCTACATTAACACATAGTAAATACACATTTGAAACACACGTTAGGATTTTATCTAACTCATTACGTTCCATTCTTAGTGTGTTTCTACAATTTACCCTCATTATTATGCCTTAATCTTGGCCTAGGAATGCCTAGGATGCAATGAGGATGCCAAAATGTTCTTGAGCACATTTGGTCAAAATGTTGGAAATAGGGGTCCTCGCTCGAGCGCAACTTCCTATACTCGAGCGGGCATGCAAAATGTGAGTGGCCGTTCGAACTCAAAATCTGTCGCTCAAGCGGTTTGTAAACTTTTGCAAAAGTGCTGGTTGTATGGCTTTTTCGCTCGATGCTCGCTCAAGCATGAGAGACATGCCATCGCTCGAGCGCAACTTTCATAGCTCGAGTGGCCTGCAAAATATAAGAACTTCTGGGAGCATGCATTTCACGCTCGAGCGGACTTTTGGTCGCTTGAGCGGAAGTGTATGCACTCAAAGTGGTCGCTCAAGCGTAGATTCCTTCGCTTGAGCGTAAGAACAGAATTCTAGAATTTCCAGATTTGTTCCCAAGGTCAAAACTCAAATTCCACACCTCAAAACTCATCTTCTTGGGCCAAAATTCTGGAAAACATGTAGGAACTTGTAAAATATTATGATTTGAAGATCATTTCATGAAATCAAGGTCCAAAAATATGTCAAATATACAAAATTCAACTTGAAATGTAAGAACATGATATGAACTTGTCATGCATATATTGACTTAAGTTCTTAGCTTCCAAAACATGATCAAATGAGGTCTAATGTTGAGAAATGTTATGAATTCTTCAAACCATGCTAGAATTACAACATGCATGTGAGAAATGCTTTGAAAACAACTTTAAAATGCTATGAAACATGCATGCATATATGGAATGACTTAGCTTTCTTCAATTCTAGCTCAATTCCCATATGAATTCACCTATTTCACTTGTATTCATGTGCTAAATGACTCAATTCCAAAGTTGCAAGCTTGAGCTCTTACTTAGGCTACTGTAGACACCCCATTTTTGACCGACCCTAAAACTACGACGTCATCGTTTGTGCACGCGATAATTGTGCATGTTTGTGCTTGTTTCGAGTGCCCGAAGGTCTCGACTGACTGTCTTGTCTTTGAGCCTCTTAACACTTTATGTTTTGGCCTTGGTTTTTGGGGCAAACCTTGTTGCCCCTTTGCTTGAGGGAGGGGAAGGGCTGCCTGCCACTTTGCTCCCTTGTAGGCCACTTGGAGTGGTTGGCCAGCTAGGGGAGGTGGTCGGCCGGCCACCTTAACTGGTCGACAGCCACTTTTTCTCCTTTTTGGATATTTTCAGATCTTTTGAGCCAATTGTGGCTCACTGAACTCATCCTCCATATGCATGGAGGGATGGAGCAAGTCTTTTGGCTTGTTTTCTCTATATAAGGGGAGCTTCCTCCCCCTAATTGAGGGTTCAGAATTTTTAGAGCTAAAATATCCCTCTCTATCTAGAATTCTCCCCCACTCTCTATATTTGTGCTATATTGAGTCTAAAAGTGAATTTTCTTCACACTTTTGCACTAAGACACCTAGTTAAGCACCTTCACTTTGGAGCTGAAGTCCATTGGAGCTTGTTTTGAGGTCCTAGCATTGGTTTTGGTCCAAAATTGTTGCTGAAGTTGCTGCCTTGCCATTGTTCTTCATGGGTAAGCATATACTCCTTTTAAAGCTTTGTATTGATTAAGTGTTATACCACCTTTGCATGCTACTTTGAGGCTGATTTTAGCCTCTCAATAACTCTAATTTTAAGGCTTTATAATGTTGGTTTGAACCTTGTGGGTTTAGAGGGGTGGTCCCCCTCTTTTGCTCTTTGGCTTGTTAAGCCTCTTGAGCCAACTCTCTAAGCTTTTGAATATCCCCTTGCTTGGCCTTTTTACCACTGAAAACCAGAGGAATTTCAGTGGTCAAAAGTTGCTCTTGTGGTCCAAAATAGGAAGGGGTGGCCCCCTTCTCCTTTTGTCTTGCTTGCATGCCTTGTTGGCCTCATACTTGAGCATGCTTTTCTACTCTTTTATGGCTTAGTTCAATCATGTTTTTGGTGTTATTTTAGCATGCCTTAGCTCTGACTTTGGTTGGCGGGGTCACTTCTTGCTTTGTTTTTGTACTTGTAGTGCAATCCTACTTGTAGGCCTAACATGCATCATGCTTTATGCCTCTAATCCTAGCTTATGTTAGCTTTATCTCAGCATGTATTTGCTATTATTTTAGCATGCCTTAGCTCTATTTTGGGTGGTCTTGGCCTTGACTGGCTTTGAGTTTCAAAGCCTCTTGCATGCTTTACTTGTGATGATTGCATGCCTTAGCCTCATTTCTCATATGATTTTAGTGTATATGGCGTAGTCACACTCTCACATATTCCACTCTTTCATAGCTTTTGTGAGTTGTGCCTTATGCCTTGTTTGTGAGCCAATATGCATGCATGCTTGTCTAAGCTTTTGGGCTTTCCATTTCAGCATGTTTTGGCCTTTGTCTTGGCCTAATTGAGCTCTGTCCAGAGCTGGTTTGGTTGTTTAGGCTATGTATTGCATGCCTCTTATGTGGTGTCCTTTACTAGCCTTGTGCTTTAGGCCTTCTAGCATGCCTTATTTGTGATGTTTATGTGATATGGCATCATTTAACACATAATTTCAGAGCACATAGCCTTGTCATACTCTCATGAATATCACCCTTTAATTGTGTTTAAGAGTTGTGCCTCATGCCTAGTTGATGAGCCAATGCATGAACATCATTATCTTGCCTTTCATGCTATCATTTCAGGTCATTTTGGCCACTGTCTTGGCATGCATGAGGTCTGTTTAGGGCTGGTTTAGTCCATTGAACATTGCATTGCATGGTTCTTGTGCTGTGTCCTTCACTAGTTTTAATGTTTAAGGGCCCTTAACACGCTATACTTATGTTGTTTGCATGATATGTCATCATTTGGCATATGATTTCAGTGCCTGTACCTCTGTCATGCTCTCATATATGTCACTCTTTCAATGTGTTTGAAAGTTAAGCTTCGTGCCTTGCTTGCGAGCAAACGAATGAGCATGCATTTCTCGCCTTGTTGTGCCTAAGTTTTAGTGTGTGTTGGCCACTGTTCTGGAGTATCTTAGGTCTATCCATAACCAGTTTGACCATTTGAGATTGATAGTGCATGCCTCATGTATAATGTTCTTTACTTGCTTTAGTGCTCTTGGCCCCTTAACATTTCTTACATGCATTGCTTACACGATAGAGTCTTGTGTATGCCACTTTAGTATTGAAAGATAAGCATGTTGTTTGCATTGCATTGAGTTTGGATCGGACGCTAATCCGAACACAAGGAATGTTTCATACTCAAAATGATAAAACGTGTTGCGTTTCTTGGTCGTTGTCACCCTTGATCATGCATGATAGGGCGACGACACTTCAAGTCTTGTTTGTGCATTCAATAACATTGGGCAAGCTTGGCTCTTTGGCCATCATGCATTGAGATGCGTGATTGGTGGCTTGGGAGCCGAGTATTATGCTCCTTCGAGCTTGAGAAATTATAAGGAGAGTAGTTGCACACACATTTCCTTGCAAATGCATTGATATGCCTTTGTTGATCTCTGTTGCAGCTAAGTTGAGATTTTGGAAGGAAAAGTGGCCGGCCGGCCACTTGCACTAGCCTGCTGACCACTTGTACTAGCCGGCCGACCAGTTGAGGTGGCCGGCCAGCCACTTGCAGCAAAATTTTCCAAAATGTTCCTGTTTTGGGACAGATGCAACCTG